CCAAAACCCCAAAACCCCCTGAGCAGCATTTCTGTTAAGAATTAAGTAATTTTGAACAGAATGATTACAATATGTTGGCTTCATATTGGTGGTTGATTTAGCTTTTATAATTTTCAACTATATTCGAAAAAGACTAAAACTAAAATGCGAAGAAATGAAGAAGTTCTGGGGTTAAATTTAAAACAAATTAATCAATTCATATTGTTATTTATTTGTACTAAGAGTCTATTATAAGAACTACAGATCCTCACATGTTTGGCAGATCTGCATCGCAACAGTCGGTTCTGAGGTTACCATTCCAAAAGTGCATCTATTACTTGTACATATGCAATTACTTTTTGATGATGTCCTTTTACCTCCTGATCAGTTCATCCTTATTCTGATAAGATGCTGATGAGTGTCTGCTGCTCACACATGAGTCATTCATTTGATGATCCTCCAGCATCTGACTACTTGCTTCATAACCCTACCCATTGTACCCATTGTGATGAGTTACTTGATGGCTTCTTGGGTAAGCTGAATTGGAGTTGCTAGCAATTTGCATCTGGTACTGACCATTAGCTGCACTCATGATGGTTGAGTTTTGTCCATTAGTTGCACCATTGTGAAGCACTTAAGACATCTAACTCACATATTGCTACTGCAATAGCTGTGGATTAGCTAGGTTCATAGCGTGGTTGAGGGTGTAGTAGTAGTTCTGCCCACTGAGGCTGTTCTGGGAAGAGGCACTGTTATTGCTGCTGCCCCCACAGGAGTTGAGGCGGGTCTTTCTGAACTGCTCTTCGAGTTAGTTGCTACAGAATCTCTTGCTTTGGTGCATTTGCATGCTCGAGAGCTAAACACCCTGCATCTGTTCTCTTTGCTGTTACTGTAACTCAGTTATCAGATCATTGATGGATGACTCGTCATTCTCTCTGAGTCTTTTCTTTGAAAACTTGGGGATGGTGTAAGTGGGCTTAGAGTTAGTGGCAAAATGCGACTGCTGATTATTTTCCATTGTACTTGCAATTCAATTTACTTTTAATTTTATAATCGCTAACTAACTATTTCAAATATATACTTTTTTATTCTACATATTTAGGTAGCATGGGGTTTTGGGGTTTTGGGGTTTTGGGGTTTTGGGG